GTGTGGAACCATGAGCCAATTAAACCTATTTTCTTTATAAATTATCCAATCTCAGGTATTTCTTGATAGCAGTGCAAGAATGGACTAATGCAGCAGTTAACAAAAAGATAATGCAAACTGCGCATGAGGACTGACATTTCATTCAGTTTAAGTCTCTTTCCTCCTATGATTGTAATGAAAATAAATATAAAAATAAAAGTAATTCCATTGCACCATTGAAAAATGAGGAAGGATTCATTAATATGATATAAACAGTGAAGAATTACTAGAATACAGATAGCAGACAGGAAGATTAACTGCAAAACTTAAAGGAGTTTAAGAAGTGTCAAATTCATGTAAGTGACTAGTTGGTTTCCTTGATGAATTGTGCCATCTTGTGGGTGCAGTATTAGTGTCAGCTGCTATCAGGTTGGGTATAAGAAAGACCATAGGATAAATAGAAACAGTAGAATCTGAGAGAAGTGATGGACTCAGTAATTAACAAATAAAAGGAAGAACATTTGAGCCAGTGCCCCGCATGGGGGCACTTGAGCATTTATCCCATGCTAAAGGCTATAGTAATGCTCTCTGTAGCAGCACATGTTCTAATCCAGAACTCCTTGAGTGGACACTGAGGCAGAAGCAGAGAGGCACTCTAGATGACACTAGCCTTCACGAAGTTGAGGAAGTCTCAGCACTTAAGAGGCAAGCAATAGGCAAGGAGGCCTCGTATCCCACCATTCTCCTGCACAGTCATTGAAGGCAGAGCTCTATTATCAGAATCCGCAAAAACGAAATGCACAACACAACAAAAAGACCAACCTCACTTATGAATATAGATGCAAAAATTCTAAACAAAATATTAGCAAACTGATACAAACAAAATCTTAAGCACTACTCAGTAGTCTTACTGTTTTTTTGTTTTTTTTTTTTGAGACGGAGTTTTTGCTCTCGTTACCCAGGCTGGAGTACAATGGCACGATCTCGGCTCACCGCAACCTCCGCCTCCTGGGTTCAGGCAATTCTCCTGCCTCAGCTTCCTGAGTAGCTGGGATTACAGGCACGCGCCACCATGCCCAGCTAATTTTTTGTATTTTTAGTAGAAACGGGGTTTCACCATGTTGACCAGGATGGTCTCGATCTCTCGACCTCGTGATCCACCCGCCTCGGCCTCCCAAAGTGCTGGGATTAGAGGCTTGAGCCACCGCGCCCGGCGTCTTACTGTTAATAATAATACTTATTCGACAACATATATATATACATATATATATAACAACATAGGCCGGGTGCGGTGGCTCAAGCCTGTAATCCCAGCACTTTGGGAGGCCGAGGCGGGTGGATCACGAGGTCGAGAGATCGAGACCATCCTGGTCAACATGGTGAAACCTCGTCTCTGCTAAAAATATAAAAAATTAGCTGGGCATGGTGGTGCGTGCCTGTAATCCCAGCTACTCAGGAGGCCGAGGCAGGAGAATTGCCTGAACCCAGGAGGCGGAGGTTGCGGTGAGCCGAGATCGCGCCATTGCACTCCAGCCTGGGTAACAAGAGCGAAACTCCGTCTCAAAACAAACAAACAAACAAACAAACAAACAAATAACAACATATATATATGGAGGCTAAGGCAAATAATTATGCTAATGTCATAAGAAAATTTCAGGGCAAGACAGACACAAGTTTAAATTCAAAGAAACAGAAACTCTGTAGTTTTAACTTTGAATTGGAAATATCACTGTGAACCACAATTCTTTTCTTTTTTTAAAAAAACAATTACCTTCTAGTTGTCCATTGTACTGACAGGGCCTAGAAGTCGTAACAATCCAGAGCAATGAGCCGGGCTGTCTTCTCTACATACCATTTTCCACCTAAAAAACCAAGGCTCTTTGGAGAATGAGCTGATTCCATGTCTGGGCTTAAAATGTAAAAGAAATATTTTGTACCAGAAAGCAAGAAAGACATCAAAGGGGGTCGTGCACGGTGGCTCAAGCCTGTAATCCCAGCACTTTGGGAGGCCGAGGCGGGTGAATCACGAGGTCAAGGGATCGAGACCATCCTGGTCAACATGGTGAAACCCCGTCTCTACTAAAAATACAAAAAACTAGCTGGGAATGGTGGCGTGTGCCTGTAATCCCAGCTACTCAGGAGGCTGAGGCAGGAGAATTGCCTGAACCCAGGAGGCGGAGGTTGCAGTGAGCCGAGATCGCGCCATTGCACTCCAGCCTTGGCAACAAAAGCGAAACTCCATCTCAAAAAAAGAAAGACATCAAAGGCTAGTTGGTGATATTAAAAGACTTGAAGGGGCTCTCACAAGCCAAAGATGAAATATTTTAAGCATTATAAGGAACAATGAGAGGAAAACATTGAAATAAAAATATTAAAAAAGGAAATTTCTTTATTTCGGTCAATAGTTGCAAAATAAATGATAGAATTATCATATTACTATTTTGCAATACCTTATGAGTCAATTGATGATCAGCAACAGCTGCTAAAACCATTAGGTGAAAAGCTAGCAGGGACCTAATAGGTTGATGAGGCTGAAAACACTGATCCCACTGATTAATCTCCTTCCCAGAGAGAGACAACCAGACATTACGTGCCTCCCCATGGGACGTCTGGAAGTATTCTTGCAGGAGGAAAAAAAAAAAAAAAAAAAAGAAAGAACCTGAACACAATCAAGTCTCTAGATCTTATTATCAATTAACTAACAGTTTAACAGTTTATGGGAAATACAGAGGATAGAAAAACAATGTATACCACCGTGAGGATGTAATCAGTGAGAAAGTGGGGAATTATACATGACAAAAGACTCAGTTTTTTCAACAAATAAATGCCATGGGAAGAAAAAGCAAAACAGGGAGAGGAAACTGACACAGAATACAAGAGACTTAAGAGATATATCAATAAAATACAAGGTATGGCCCTTGTTTGGATCTCAATTTGATAGATCCAACTATTTAAAGACATTTAAAAACCTGGGAAAATTTCACATGGACTAGATTATTTGCTAATACTAAGAAAATTTTATTATTATTTTTGAGATGGAGTCTTGCTCTGTCGCCCAGGCTGAAGTGCAATGGTGAAATCTTGGCTCACTGCAACCTCTGCCTCCGGGTTCAAGTGATTCTCCTGCCTTAGCCTCCCAAGTAGCTGGGACTACAGTCGCCCACCACCAGGCCAGCTAAATTTTGTATTTTTATTAGAGATGGGGTTTCATCATGTTTGCCAGACTGGCCTTGAACTCCTGACCTCAGGTGATCTGCCTGCCTCAGCCTTCCAAGGTGCTGGGATTACAGGCGTGAGCCACCGTGCCGGGTCTGATTTGTGCTTCTACAAGTTTTGGATTTCTGAGAAGAGCAGCTTGACATTTATAGGAAAGTAATAAACATTTTTGACATACTTTGAAATTTCTTGTTCAGGCAATTTTTTCTTATTGAGTACTTACGAAGAGCAAAGACAGCATCTCATTTCAGTTCAAAATGAAATCTGTGTGACAATCTTAAGTCAAACTCAGAATTGAGCAGATACACAGCAAAAGACAAGCAAAAATTTCACACTAAACATGTAATTTTCATTTTTTTCTTTCAAAAATAATACTTTTATGCATACACAGGCCCACAAAAGATCGACATTCATTAAAATCAAATTGCAACATTTACTAAATTAAAACAAAAAGAAAACGTGAAGTTTCCTCTCTCACTTGTTTTTTATTTGTTTGTTTTGAGACCAAGTCTTGCTCTGTTGTCTAGGATGGAGTGCAGTGGCGGATCTCGGCTCACTGTAACCTCCGCTTCCCGGGTTCAAGCGATTCTCCTGCCTCAGCCTCCTGAGTAGCTGCGATAAAAGGCGTGGACCACCATGCCCGGCTAATTTCTGTATTTTTAGTAGGGTGGCGGGGTTTCACTGTGTTGGCCAGGCTGGTCTCGAACTCCTGGCCTCAAGTGATCCAGCCGCCCCGGCCTCCCTAAGTGCTGGGATTACAGGTGTCAGCCACCGCGCCCTGACTACAAAGGTATTTTAAAACCCCATTTACAATAACCCTGTCAATTAGATAGGTACCAAGTTCCACCCTCTTCTAAACACGAGGTAGTCAGCTGTGTCAAATATCAAGGTAAGGTCTCAGAGGGCTTGGGTATAAAAGACTCCAACCAAATTTAATAAATGGAAGGTTACTACCTTTATTTGTGAGAGAAGCTCTGGAGAATGTGGGGGAAGCTGATGTCAAATATAAGGGGCTTAAGGAGAGAAGCGGGAGAGGAGCTTCGAGCGCAGAGTGGTTCACAGCCTGTCGGTGCTTAAAATATACTTGAATGAATACCTGATACAAAGAAAAAAAAGACGGTTTGGTTTTCTATAAGACAGCATAAAAAATTAAATAAACAGACGCATTGTTTTTCTTCCTCTAATTCGTGAGACCACAGAACAAAAGAACAGGCACAGTTCAACCCACAATTGTGCGAAAATCAATAGGTGAGAAGAAACAAGAACCTCAGATAAACGCTTCCGCCGGCTGTGACAGGTTCTGCCGCAGCCAGATCCACTGAACAGAGTGCGGCTCAGAAACCTTAGAGACCCGTCTGCACAGCTGCTGAAGTTAGCAACAAAGTGGTGAGCACGTTTGGCGACAATTTCGTGAGAAGGAAGCGCACCCCGCTAGTCGGCACGGACTTTAAGAACCAACCTTATTCCTGCAAGGTGCTTTCGTTCCGGCTGTCAGCGCTGGAAGCAAACTGGAACCCGCCCCGCCCCTGGGAGAGAGGGCGGATCTCTAACGCCAACTATCTCCAAGAGCAACATTTCAGCAGCACTTCCAGGACGTCGCCCTGCAAAGGACGCCGCTATTATACGTCACTTCCGCTGCTCCACTCTGGGCAAGTTGACTTCATGGTTGTAAATTAGTGGTTAAGGTTCGATATTATTGCCCCTTTTCCAGCCCTGAAGGCTGTTTTGGAACCAAGTGTCTCTGGTTTCGCGGGTGACTGGCTTTTTTTTTTTTTTTTTTTTTTTGGCAAGTCAGTCATTCGAATTTCTGGTATTAAAAAAAAAACTCTGGCGGTACGGTAGCCGAGGAGGTTCCAGTGCGGCGGAAGTACCCCGCGGGTGGGTGTGTGCGCGCGCAAGGCCGGGACCAGAGGTGCACGTGGCTCCGGTGAGTTGCCGCAGAAGCCGGAGGATCTGAAAATGCTGGACGCGGAACCCAGCTGCCTGAGGGAGGGAGGAAGAAAGGGGATACGGTGCGGAGACCTTGCTGTCTGTGGGTGGAGGAGGTACTAATCCTGGGGCGGCCAGGCTGGTGTGTGGTCGGTCGGCGCTCCCGAGACCATAGGGAAGTAAACTCTTCACCCTAAAGGTTGGTCACTGGCGGTCTGACCGTGGGTGACGTGACAGGGCTGCTATTGTTCCCTTCTGACGGCGGCTCCAAGGGGTTGGAGTGTACTCAGAGGCTACAGTGATCAGAAGATACTGCTCATTTATTTTTTCACCAGGGAGTGAAGAGAATGTCTTTTCGAGGCGGAGGTCGTGGAGGCTTTAATCGAGGTGGTGGAGGTGGCGGCTTCAGCCGTGGCAGCAGCAGCAACCACTTCCGAGGTGGAGGTGGAGGCGGTGGCGGAGGCGGCGGCAATTTCAGAGGCGGCGGCAGGGGAGGATTTGGACGAGGGGGTGGCCGCGGAGGCTTTAACAAAGGCCAAGACCAAGGACCTCCAGAACGTGTAGTCTGTATGTAGTCTTCAACATTTAGCCCATTTGAAGGAGCTGGGGTGGGTTGTGGGTTTGTGTTATTAGTCAGCAAGTTTGGGATACACAAGCCTGTGTGGAAAATGATGTAAACTGACCTCTAATCGTACAGTAACATGTAAAGGTGGGGATGGGGAGATGAAGAAAGCTGTGGGATACTTAAAATGCATCATGGAGGTGGAACTTGAGGGTTGACAGGAAGATATTAAAGACGGCAAGTGAGTACTTATCCCTAATACAGATGAGAAAACTGTGATTCAGAGTGAAATTTTTTTGCTAGGGTCATAGGGTTAGTGATAAGCGATCAGGTAGTGATACAGTTGAAATACAGGCTGGGTGCCGAGGCTCACGCCTGTAATCCCAACTTCGGGAAGCTGAGGCGGGAGGATCGCTTGAAGCCAGGAGTTAGAGACCAGCCTGGACAATAAGCAAGAGACTCCCTGTCTGTACAGAAAAGAAAGAAATACAAAGCCGAGTATTCTGAGTTCACAGCCCATGCTTTCGTTACTACTCAAAAGTAGGTGAGAAAAAAAATTTGCTTGAGAGGGAAACTGCTAGAGAGGAAGTCGAGAAAAAGACCCATTTAGGGCAGTTTTAGAGTAATTAACAATGAGATTGGAATGGAAGTCACAGAAAATAAAGCCTACTACATTAAAGATGAGAGAGGATGAACAGTGTCTAATTAAGGAGGATTTGAAAGGACCAGTGTCTAGAATAAAAGGTCCCAGCCCAGAAGATGTTGCACCAGTCCATATGTAAGGCATTCAGAGCGTGATTCAGGATGGTGACAGTGAGGAAAAAGAGGAAGGGTTAGATAGGAGAGATTTCAAAGGAAACAATCAGTAGAACTTAGCTAATACTGGCAATAAAAAGTTCCAGGTTTTGAGCTTGGGCGATAGGCATGGAGAGTTGGTTTTGCAGGAATGTGGTAAGTATTTAAGTTTGGGTGATAGTCTAGTTAGTTAGAAATAAAGGTAGTTATTTTGAGATTCCAGATGTCTTTGAAAAAAATGAATCATTGTTAAAGAGTTGGTAGTGGGAATTCGAAAGTTGAAAGGCAAGAGAAAAAAAAAGAACTAAGGCTGATTCAGTTGGGGGTTGAAAACAAGGAAGAACCAGGAGAGTGAAGCAGAGTTTTGAATCAGATAATACATTATAATAAGATAACTGTTTAGGTTGAATGGTCTCAGTGTGCCAGGCACTATTCTAAGCACTTGACATTCGTTATTCCATTTAGTCCTTACAGTACTCTTTTAGGTATAGATATATATGATATGTTATTAGTGCGTACTAAAGATGAGACACTGAATTAGAGACAGAATGGGTGACTTCTCTTAGGTCACAGAGCTAGTGTGTTGTGGAGTCTGTATACCAGCCCAGGAAGTCCACACTTTTTTTTTTGAGGCGGAGTTTCGCTCTAGTTACCCAGGCTGGAGTGCAATGGTGCGATCTCGGCTCATCGCAACCTCCACCTCCTGGGTTCAAGCAGTTCTCCTGCCTCAGCCTCCTGAGTAGCTGGGATTACAGGCACGTGCCACCATGCCCAGCTAATTTTTTGTATTTTTAGTAGAGACAGGGTTTCACCATGTTGACCAGGATGGTCTCAATCTCTTGACCCGCCTCAGCCTCCCAAAGTGCTGGGATTACAGGCTTGAGCCACCGCACCCGGCATGGAAGTACACACTCTTAATGACTGTGGTCTTCTGCCTCACAGGAGATTAGTTATGGTGAAGTGCCCAGTAGCCAAGAAGAAAGCTTTCAGAAGTTGGTCAGTATCATTTGAAATAGTTCTATGTTTTAACATTTTCTTGTCCTATTTCAGTATTAGGAGAGTTCCTGCATCCCTGTGAAGATGACATAGTTTGTAAATGTACCACAGATGAAAATAAAGTGCCTTATTTCAATGCTCCTGTTTACTTAGAAAACAAAGAACAAATTGGAAAAGTGGATGAAATATTTGGACAACTTAGAGATTTTGTATCCTTTTTAATTGGCATATTCAAAGGTTACTATTTGTATTTTTCTGAGGCAGTTAAGTATAAATTAAACTTTTTGTTTTATTTAATTAGACAGTATTGCTACATATTGGACCATGAAGGAGAATCAAGGGGAGAATGTATTTATCCATAGATATTAAAATGACAGACCCTAGAAAGGTGAGTTTTTTTGGGGAAAGTTGTAGAAATGATGGCCATTTGGCTAAGTCCTACAGGATTACGTTGGTCGATTTGGATATAGTGGTGCCACTGGAAATGTAGAATTAGAAGTTGCTTGGTGCCCCCACTACTGTGGAAACTCTTCTCTCCTCTTCCTCTTTCCCTTTTTTTGAAATAGAGACTCACTCTGTTGCCCAGGCTGGAGTACAGTGGCACGATCTCAGCTCACTGCAACCTCTGTCTCCTGGGTTTGAGCAATTCTCATACCTCAGTTTTTCAAGTAGTGGGGATTAGGTGAGTACCACCTTGCCCAGCTAATTTTTATATTTTTAGTAGAGATGGAGTTTTACCATGTTGGCCAGGGCTGGTCTCAAACTCCTGGCCTCAAGTGATCAACCTACCTTGGCCTCCTAAAGTACTGGGTTTGTAGGTATGAGCCACCATGCCCAGCCCCCTGGAAACTCATTTTTTATTTTTCCTATATATGTCCACGTATTCTAACCTTGTTTTTGAAATTATGCATAAAATCATAAGGTTCGATATTATCTTTCATCGTAATTGCTAATTTGTTCCTTAATGAAAGTAATAGTATTTTTCAGTTAAATTGTCAGAAAATATGAAGGCTTCATCCTTTAAAAAACTACAGAAGGTGAGTCGTACTTATGATACTTGGGATCCTTGGTTTTATAAGGGAATGACCTATCTTAGGAAAGTACTACTTAGGGCATTTGAGACTTCCCCAGTATATCACTAGCAAAGCTCTTAAACTGAAATATTCTCTGCTATAAATATTGAACATACTAATTTTTAAAAGTAAGTTATTTGATACAACCTTTTAGAAAGTAAAAGTGACAGATTTTGCTCATATTACCAAGACCTGTAACTGCTATAGTAAGAGTTTTTTGTTTATGTAGAACTCATATTGAAAAACTTTCATGACCAAACACTCTAGGTAAAATCTTATGTTATTTGAGAACGTAGGTACTGAATGATTTCCCAGGAAATCAATAACATATGCTGTGAAAGAAAACTATAGGTTGCCATGAGAAACTGTAGTGCCACCAACTTTAGTCTGTAGTGTTTCCTGAAAAAGTGAGCTTGACGCTTAGGCCTGATTGTTGACTAGAAGTGATTTCCACACCTGGTGGCATGTCATAGTTATCTTGGGGAGCTTTTAAGAAGAGGTACTTCTAGTTTCCACTTGAGAAAATTTGACCTAGAAGCTCTTAAGTAGGGTCCAGGATTCAGTTGTAAAAAGGAAAAAGCACTTGGATAATTTTGATGTAGTTAGGCAAATACTTGAGAGCTGCTGAGCTAGTCAAAGAGAAAGAGGAAAGTACATTCCAAGTAGAGAAAAGAGTATATACAGTCTCTAAGACAGCAAGCAACTGAAAGGAAATAAAAAGGCGGAGGTATAGGTTGGGAATGAAACATTTAGGAGAGGTTGGGAAAGTTGTGAATTAAGACCAGAGAGGTAGGAGGGGGCTTGATTAACTTAAGCCTTCAGGTCATAGGAAAGAGCTTAGACTTTAGTTTCAATTGTGTTCTGCTTTTTTTCTTGAGATGGAGTTTAACTCTTGTTGCCCAGGCCGGAGTGCGACGGCATGATCTAGGCTCACCGTAACTTCCGCCTCACAAGTTCAAGTGATTCTCCTGTCTCAGCCTCCCGAGTAGCTGGGACTACAGGCATGTGCCACCATGCCCGGCTAATTTTGTATTTTTAGTAGAGATGGGGTTTCTCCATGTTGGTCAGGCTAGTCTTGAACTCCCAACCTCAGGTGATCTGCCTGCCTCGGCCTCCCAAAGTGCTGGAATTACAGGTATGAGCCACCACTCCCGGCCATGTTTTATTTTTGAATAATGGGATAATACAGTTAGTTGTATGGTTCAGAAGAACACTGGGAAGATAAAAAAACACCGTGGGAAGAGGTCACTATTGTGTGAGGAGACAGGTAGGAGGCTATGGTAGTTCTAACTATCAAAAGTGGGTGGATTTATGAAAGGTACAGGAAGTAGAATCAATAGGATAGGAATTGAAGAAGTAAAAAATATCACCATCTTTCAGATGTCTGATGTCAACATCTTTGTGGGTGATAGTACTGTTTAATGAGATGAGCAACAATGCAGAAGGGGGGTTTGGAGAAAGATAATGAGTTCAGTTTTGAACATAGTGAGGTGAAGGTACTTGTGAGACAGTCAAATGGTCAGGAGTTTAAAGGAAGAGTCTAGACTGGAGATAGATTTGGGAATTTGTTAAGTATACAGACAGTACATGAAACAGTGTAGGAAGAAAGAATGAGAGGAAAAGAGCACCTATGAAGAGTTTTGGGACACCTCCTAAAGCTAAATGTCTGTTAGTGGAAACTCAGTTAGTGGAAATTGCCAGTTTGAAAAAAAAAGGCAAACCACAAGCTTGTCGTAAAAGTGGTATCACAAGAATTGAAAGAGTGTTTCCAGGAGGGACTGCTCAGCTATGGCAAAATGCTGCAAAGTGTTCATTGGAAGACAGCCACGTAGACGTCAGGGAGTCAGGGAGTCATGGAGCCGGTGCAGTGGTGGGCCCAGGAGCCAGAATGAAATGGGAAATGAGAAGGAGACAATAGCTTATTGTTAGCATATGGCTGCTAGTTGTGGAAACCTTGGCAGGTACTCACAGGAAATTGCTTCAGGTGCGCCTGGCGCTGTTGGGCCCAGAAAGAAACAATGCTAACGAAGGATTCCCATTTTGTGACCTGAAATAAAAAATTGCTGGTAATAGCCACTTAAATTGATCAGAATCCCTCTCCCTTTCTCAGAATTATTTATTTGAGGGCTTATTATTTAGTTTTTTTCGTTTTTTTTTTTTAACTACAGATATTAACTTGAGTGCTTTCTACCTCTCCCAGTTTCCATACCCCCTGCTATGTTGAGATTCAGCCCTCCTTACCCAGCCTGCGTTACTGTGAAGTCTGTAGACCAGTGTCCTCTACTTGAACGTTCTGCAGTGATGGAAATCCCTGCCCAGTAAAGTAGCTCTTAGCCACACATAGATTTTGAGCACCTGAAGTATGGCTCATGTAACTCAGGAACTGAATTTTTAATAGTTAATTAATTTAAATATCAGTATTTAAATTAATACTGTGGCTCATGGCTACCACATTGAACAGTGTAGATGTAGACAATATTTTGAGATGATGGGCTATGAAGGGAAGATGAATAATAAGGTGATATCTAGAGAGGGATTCAGATATCTTATTATAAGTAATGTATCAGTTTTAAAATCCTCATGTGTTTTGTGTAGAAGAACTATGATACAATATGCCCTTTACATTTCATTATCTGAGAAATGTCCTCTTTAGCCGCAATTATAGGATGGGTATAGTTTCTATGTATGCTTCATTACTTTCTGTGTTCAGAAAATAGTTACCCTTTTGATCCTTTATTAAAGACTTGAAACAGCTAGTTTGTGAATGCTTTATTTTGAATTTTAATGCTATGTTTTTTATTTTATTCAAGAAAATGCTATGTTTTTAATAGTTTTATTTTTCTTACGGCGGTTCGTTGAGTGGAAATGTTAAACCTATTTCTAAAGCGAAATGAGATTGAATTGGTCTTGATTTTTTTTATGTGCATACTCTTTATTTTGTGCCAAAATGCAAGTGCCTTATATACATCACTTTTGATCATCACACAAACATGCAAGCTAGATATGTATTCTCTACATTTTACAGATAAAAAAACTAAGGCAAACTACCTCAGAAACAGAAAACCAAACACCACATGTTCTCTCTCGTAAGTGGGAGTTGAACGATGAGAACACATGGACACATGGCGGGGAACATCACACACCTGGGCATGTTGGGGCATGGGGGCAAGGAGAGGGAGAGCATTAGGACAAATACCCAATGCACGCGGGGCTTAAAACCTAGATGATGGGTTGATGGGTGCAGCAAATCACCATGGCACATGTATACCTATGTAACAAGCCTGCACATTCTGCACGTGTATCCCAGAACTTAAAATTTAAAAAAAAAAGATAAAAGAAAACTAAGGTAGTAAGAAATTAAGTCCTTACCCAGAGATACATTGTGGAAAGAATTAAATCGCAAAACAACCCAGTGGGTTTTGACTCTATCATGTAGCTTCTGAATTATTATACTGTCGTCCCCCAAGTCATCACACAATTGCTTCTATTATGTTTCCAGTTTTATATAGACCCGTATAAGCTGCTGCCACTGCAGAGGTTTTTACCTCGACCTCCTGGTGAGAAAGGACCTCCAAGAGGTGGTGGCAGGGGAGGCCGAGGAGGAGGCCGAGGAGGAGGTGGCAGAGGTGGTGGCAGAGGCGGTAAGTTACTTGGGGAAAATTTCTGATGAGATTTCAAAGTCACGACTAAATTCATATAGTACAATTTAGTTCTGTACATAGCAAATTCTCCCTTATGGTAAAGCTGCTTTCAAATATTGACAGATTGTCCATAATAATAATGCTTCATTTCAACAACTTAAAAAGAAAAAAAAAATCTACTGTAGTGTACTTTTGAGGGACTTTATTTCTTTGGGCTATTCATGTTTTCTTGGGCATTTTAATAAACCGTAAAATCATCTTAATTTTAATATCATTGAGTATAGATTGCATGCTGAAAGCTGGTCATACCTTCTTTTAATTTCTGTGTATATTCTTCTAATCTCAACGAAACCTTTTGAGATAGATGATATCCTTGTTTTATAAATGAGGAAAATGGAGACTTAGAGAAATTAATTTGCCCCCGTCGAACAGTTGTCAGACCCAGAATTAAAATGTGTATCTTCTGATGTCATGTCAAGAACTATTACCAGTAAATTCATTGCTGTGATCTCACTGTTTTGATTTATGCCTTTCCCCAAGGTTTTGGCACATTCGTCGTTATGGGCAGCTAGGTGATGAGCAGGGCTCTGGGGAGTGGGGCTGCCATGTCCTGTGAGTAGGGGGAGGGTGAGTGATGGGGTACTACTGGGCAGAGCCAAAGTGGAAAGGGAGCAGAGCTGAAAGTTGGGCTTGGACAGCTTTTGTTACTGGATCAGAAAAAGAGAAGGAACGATTCGCTTTTGCGTCTCTCAATTTAATCATCATTTCACTCCATAAATGTACTTGTTTGGATCCATACAGGTAGCAAGGAATATCTTTAAAAAATATCAACATATTTGTCTACAATATTTTCAGGGGTACCTTTTTGAGAATTTGATGAATAGAGATTCCCCCATTCTCATTTGAGTGTCATTTAACATTTCAAAAAATTCACAACTATCTTATTTTTTAAAAATCTTACCTATGTAGCTCAATTAACCTTAACTATCGTATTTATTATCGTGCCCCCAGAGCCAAAGCACCCATAGGTACCACCCTTTGTTCTTAGGATAAAAAGCCTCAGTTCCATCAAACTATCCGTTGTTCAATCAAAAAAGTCTTTGTCATAAGCAAGAGCTAAGGTGATAATCATACATTTAACAAAATTGAATTATACTTTAAAGTAGCATGTTTTCTAGTTTATTAAAATGGAATACTTGTTTGAAAGGATCTGGGGTTTTATTTAGCCTGTTGCCCAGTTGGTAAACTGCTACAGTCCCTCCATTTTTATCTTCTAAAATTTTTTCCATGATAAAATATATGAATCTATATTCATTATAATTATAGTTATTGTACTGATCTTTGTAGGCTTAACAGCGTAAGAGGTTATATGGTTAATAACTGTTAGTGTTTATTATTTATATTATTATTTAAATATTTTGCATTATTATTTCATAATTGTTTTTTAGGTGGTTTTAGAGGTGGAAGAGGAGGTGGAGGTGGGGGCTTCCGAGGAGGAAGAGGGGGTGGTGGTTTCAGAGGTGAGTATCTTAAAAAGTCTTTAAATTGCGGACTTTTAGAATTGATATTAACTGGCATTTTCTGTTTTTGTTTAAGTTTATTTTTCTCTGCCAGCAAGTATGTAGAACAAACACCATGATGTTCTTTGCTTAGCCTAATTTATGGTTTCATTTTATATCACTTTTGTTTTGCCTTTTCCTTTCAAGTTTTTCACCTAATTCTAATTTGGTTTTGCTTAATTATTAATTCGAAAAATGAAAGTGTAATATGATTGACAGTTAAGTTTGGTAAAATATGTTTGCTAAACGTTACAGAAACTAATGCTGATTTTAAACTTGAGTTTTAGGTTATAATACTATTAAGAAATCCATTTTCTGTGCGCTTAATACTTTAATTTTCTCTTAATCAGGGAGAGGACATTAAGTGAAATAGTTGACAGACATCACCAGTTGACTTCTGCATAAACCTGCATGATCTGTTTCTACTGTGGATTGGAAACTTGTTTCTTGAGCAAGTCTTGAAGATCTTGGTTGTTTTATGACAATGGATCTAAAATGTCAGCATTACACCAAGTGCAACGGAATAGTGGATTTTGCTCTAAAAGAGCATGAACAAATCTTTTTAATGTTTTGTATAGTGCCTGGCACTCTGTGGGTGCTTAATAAATGGACAGGAGTTTTCATTTGAAGCATATTTGAATTTTTAAAATAAAGTGTTTATTCCCTGATTTAGAGCGTGTTTATTAAAGAAACCCATTTTTTTGAAGTAGAAAGGAACAACTAAAGCTTAAACCCAGTGAACTGCAGATTGAAAAAAGGATTTGTTTACATATATTACCGATCTTTTAAAAAATAGGCTATTGGAACAGTACTTTAAGATTATTTACAAATTATTACCCCCTTTCGAAACCGTGGCCTTTTACATATGAGAACGTAGCTCTGTGTTTCCCTTTTGTGTTTTGATACATAAATCAGTTAAGCTGTTTCTATAATTGCATTTAATTATTGATTTAAAAATTTTCCATATTCGCAATGTATTGAAGATGGAGTAGCTCTGTTCAAGTGAAAACTGTAGTTCAAGAAATTTCTAAAGAAACGGTTAATTTTTCTCAGCCAACATAAATGGAATATGAAAAGTTTTACTGAACATTATTTCACTTTTACTTTTTAAAGGGACTCTAAAAGTTTAAGGTGTTATTTACTATATATGAATATCAATTGCATGCCACATGTTCAAATTGCTGGGTAAAGATGTTAAAAATGAAATTGGTTTTGGTCACTGTTGCTAGTGGAGTGTAAAGAAATGACCATGGTAGCAAGTTACAGTGCCATGGTATGGAGCTATTTATCCTGCCATTCGTTTTGCACTTCTCAGAAGGAATGATGTTTCTATATCATTTGTTAAATTTTCTAACATGCTTAACCCTTGAATGCTCTTTTGAGGAGCATACAGTGTTGTCTGTGTCAGTATTTGGGATTTTATATATTTTTTTAATTGATGGAATTGTAGCAGGATTAATAAATACATAGGCCATTAATATATATGATGAGTAAATGTGTTGAAAGTTACAGTTTTTACAGGAATAGGCAGTTATGCTTTTACAGCTTAGGATAGATCATTTGATTTAGAATTGTGGTGATGAAATTTTCATGGAGTATAGGGCCAGAGTTTTTGCTCTTGGTTTGAAAAGGAAGTTAGTGAGCATGGGTGATGGCATTGTCCCAAGGACAAATAGTAATAGTGCAACATTTCTACAGTTTTTTTTTTTTAACATTAACAATAAATCTATAACGGCAGTGTTGGATATAATGTGATTAGTAGACAAACCACTTGGAGATTTCAGCTTTTAGCTTATATATATCTTTTGGTCATTGGTCATTGGCCATCTTTAAGCTCTTATTTCTACATCTTTCCCTTTTTTTCCTTACAGTTTCTGGTTTTTTGTTTTTTGGTTTTTTTTTTGAGACGGAGTTTTGCTCTTTTTTGCCCAGGCTGGAGTGCAATGGCGTGATCTCGGCTCACTGCAACCTCTGCCTCCTGGGTTGAAGTGATTCTCCTTCCTCAGCCTCCCGAGTAGCTGGGATTACAGGTGTGTGCCAACATGCCCAGCTAATTTTTGTATTTTAGTAGAGATGGGGTTTCTCCGTATTGGTCAGGCTGGTTTCGAACTCCTGACCTCAGGTGATCATCGCCAGCCTTGGCTTTCCAAAGTACTGGGATTACAGGCATGAGCCACCGTGCCTGGCCTTGAGGCATTTTATTTTTAATCAAATTCACATGTATTCTAAGCCTTATCCCAATACAGCTTTTCTGTATCACTCATGAAGGAAGCATAAAAAAGAACTTTGACTGCACCTACCTCACTTATATCAAAACTTGCGCCTGCAGCAGAAAGCTGTCTTTGAAATTACCTTTGTTTCAGTTCTTAGAAATATTTCTGGAAAATCTTTAATGGATGCTACAACTAGGTATAACTTACTACAGAAGAGGAAGGTAGTATGACCCAAAGCGAATTTGAAAATTTTAAGTTTTATTTTGCATACTGAATGAAAGAGAAGCAAGCAAGAAAAAACAGATTTTTTTTTAAAAAAGGGAGTGATCTCCCCTTAGTTATGTTTATTGCTCTAGGGTCATTTGAAAACAATACTGATGAGATTTGCTTTTCTGATATAGGTATGATAACAACATTTACATTTATAAAATGTGAGTATGGGTAGCTAAAAGATTTGGGACAGGTAAGTCAACCTGTTTACCTTGAGTTTATACACAGGCAAGAGAACTGAGGCGAAAGGATTATCTTAGTCAGGCATCCCCAACCTTTTTACACAGGGGGCCAGTTCACTGTCCCTCAGACCGTTGGAGGGCCGCCACATACTGTGCTCCTCTCACTGACCAATGAAAGAGGTGCCCCTTCCTGAAGTGTGGCGGGGGGCCGGATAAATGGCCTCAGGGGGCCGCATGCGGCCTGCGGGGCCCTAGTTTGGGGACGACTGACCTTAGGTTTCTTTCTCCTGTGCCATTCTAGGATTTACAAAAGATTAAACTAAGTGGGTAAATATAGCCCTCTAGTGGTTCTGTTTTATGCTTGCACTGTTAACTTTGGTGCATCTAAGCATTTCTCTAATGTTTGCTGATTTTAAGAAACTTGCTGAGAAGAATCAGATTTTAATAACGTGAATGGAATAAAGGATATGGGAAAAAAGGTAATAGGGATACCTTATTATTCTAACAAAACATGTTTGGGTTACTTTTCAGGTTATAATGTGATAACCCAGAATATTTTTACTCTGCTTTACAATATCAGTGATTGGATTCAGATACTTTGGCAATGTATAAAATGATTACTATCATCAGATAATTTTGATTACATGCATATCAAACTATAGGATAATTTTTTTTTTTTTTTTTTTGAGATGAAGTCTTACTCTGTTGCCCAGGCTGGAGTGCAGTGGCACAATCTCAGCTCACTCCAACCTCTGCCTTCCAGATTCAAGTGATTCTCCTGCCTCAGCCTCCTGAGGAGCTTAGATTACAGGTGCATGCCACCATGCCTGGCTAATTTTTGTATTTTTAGTAGAGATGGGGTTTCACCATGTTGGCAAGGCTGGTCTTGAACTCCTGACCCTCTGACCTATAATCCTCTGCTGGGATTATAGGTGTGAGCCACCGTGCCCAGCCAACTATGGGATAAATTAACTGAGGTGGATGGTGGAGTTGATCATGTTATATCCATGCTACGAAATATAGAGCTACGAATAAATCAGACTTTATTACATTCTGAGATTATTGACCTACAATTTACAATACAGCCTTAGGGGAAAATAAGTTGCATTATATATGCATTATATATATACATATATACTTATTTTCCTCATTTTTGTTTATAAGAAAAAAGTGCAGGAAACCTTAAACACTTGTATGAATGTATATTTGTATAAGCAGAGAAAAGCATAAGAAAGAATATGCACCAAACAATAACTGGTACCTTTAGGAGGGGGAGATTCGAAAGTAGGAAGGAGATTACTTCTTTATCACTAATATTTTAATTAAGGAGAAACAAACAAAAGGAGCCGCAATGGAAAAACTTGAAGGGTCAACAGAAAACAGGGACCTTAATCTGAATAGTTTCAGAGGACTAAGACTGGCTTTTAATATCAGAACTGATTTCCAGCAGAAACCGTTTAAGTCTGCTCCTGCACTGATTTCCTGAGTTTGTTTATTGTTTAATTGTGATGTGTGTACTTGATAATCTCCTTAGACTGAAGACTGATGCCCAAATAGGTTAAAATGTGTAGTGCTTGGTATTTCTTTTTGTTTTGCTAATAAGCTTTTCCCTTATTCTGGGAATTAAAATCCTTTCCTCTTTAGCCCAGTTAAATCTGTTAAGGGAGGGCCTCTATGAAAAGGCCCTTCTTTGAGGTCTCTAAGTGGAAATGATTGGTCCTGAAAGATCTTTCCTCAGTAGCTCATAAAACAGTTCATAATTATCAAAGGCTTATTATGAAGGGTGTCTCAGTATCTTCCCTTCAAAATGCTAAGAAATAATTTAGGCAACAGTTCAGACTCTAAAAATGAAGATGGCTCGGTCTTTTCACAGACTGAACACAATATTGTTGCAACTTACTTGATTATGGCAGGTATGGATGTTTAACAGTTATCTTTCTTTAGGGCGAAGAAAGGCAGAAGTTTTCAGCATAAGGCATGCATTGTTTCAAGTTCCATATTATTGGCCAACCTTGAGAAGTCATTCATCCGACTTGGCTTGCTCGCTTGCTCGTGTGGTAAATGAGGATGAGGATATTCTATTTCTGGGCTGTAAATCAAATAAGAGAATGTGGGTGAAAGATAAGTGAAAGCATTAGTGATGGCCATTGTCGCAGCTTATTTTGATGTTTGATAATGTAAGAGCAGTGAAGTGGGGCTGGGAGAAGTTTTCTATGTAATAAATAGTTCTTTTATAAAAATCTATATATTTGGTTATTGCATTGTCAAAGTTTTTATTGGAGAAGAGCATGTACCATGGCAAAAATGTATTTTTGTATCATTTACTATTCTTACACATAATCCTCATATTTTTGTTCTTGGTGGTAGAATTTAACTAAGGACTTAAAGATTCTGGAAAGAAAAAGTCCTAAGAAGACAGAGCAGAGTATATTGTCGTTAAGGACAGAGTTTGAAAATTCAGCTTGCTCTAGAATACTTATTGGAAAACTCTTAAATTTTGGATTTCATGTTTTAGCATATTTGCAACTGTGAGCAAGTTCCTTCTCCTTTTTGTTTTTCCATTTTCTCACCTGTAAAACAAGGATAAGAATAAGTTACCTGTCATGATTGTTATAAGGTATAAAATTAAATGATATATAAATGCCAGTAGTAGGTGTTGGGCAAATATTTGTTTCTTTTTCCCTTTCCTCCTTAAGCACTCATTGATGTAAAGGATTATTTGCAGAAAAAAAGGGATGGGGGAAATGACAGTAGAAACTCCTTATCTTTTGATTGTATCATTGAATCGTGTAACTTTTATATTGAGCAATCACTTAGTTTTCAACTTTATACTCCGTAACGAGTTTTAGGAGTCACTGTATTATACTGGGTTCATTATTTTTCGGGTGGACTTTTATGAACATTTCAAACATATTCAAGAGTAGAGTGAAAAGTATAACACATCATCCTATACCCAGTTTATAATTGTTTAGTTTCTTCCTTATAATTCAGCATATTACTTCC